CATCCTAAACTGGTCAAGATGCCTGCACAACCACAGCTACTAACACAATGGTCACAGTAAGGAGTAGTGCACACACATGGCATGATGCTCCCCCAGTGTTGGGTTTTGTCTCTATGGATCTGCATGCTTCACCGATCTACCAACATTCCCTAAGGATCTGCAGAAATAGTCTCCTGTATGGAGCCTCCTTTACTAGGACTCAAGCCTGCTTAATAATGAGCACTCTGGCTTTAAGCCAGAAAAGCACTTAAGCATTGAAGGCAGTGGGACTTTCCATGAGCTTAAAGTTAAGCATAAACTTACAGGGTTTATGGGATCAGGGCAAGTGTACTCAGCACTTGGTAGAATCAAGCCCCTACTTCTCAATCAGCTGCTATTTTTAGCTGTCAAGAGACAGACTGCCCATGGGAGTTGGAGAGCCATGGGATTTGGCCCTAAATTAATAAATTAAGCAACATAATATAAAGTTATTTTTTCAATGGTTTAGCAATGCAACAATATTTATATCCCAGCTTTGATTTGTGTATGATTTCCATAACAAAATCATTCTCATTCATGTAATCACAAAACTGATTTACTTTGATGTCCTATCTCTTAGTTCTCATTTTGGTGGCCTTGATGGACACAAAACATCACTCTTATCTTGTGAATTGATTTTTTTCTTTTTAGTTAAAAATACAAACCCTGTTTCCTTCTTACATCTGGACTAAATAGCTTTTTCCTCTTGTTGTTGTTGAACTCATGGGTTGTGGATCAGGTTCCACAGTTCACTTGCTTTATTTGACTTATTGTACTTATAATACAATATTTTCTGACACTCAGACCATTTGAAAGGTCAAGGCCAAGTAAAGAAACAAGTGCAGAGAGTGACTAGGGAGTTATTAAAAGACTTACTTGGACCTTTCAGTAATAATATCCTGATACGTACAAAAACACCTTAGTTAAAAGAAAGTTACTAAGGTTGCAAGGACTCAGGTTAGAAAATGCCAAACAACCTTAATTCTTCCCCTTTGAACAGATGCATTATGATACAATCTTTAATTACATAGTCATATACTCTTTTTTTCTCCATTTATTGTACAGGATGGATGAATGATCCATGAATGAAGCAGCTGTTAAATATATTTTTATTCTCCTTATTCAATATGTTGATCCATGTCTTATTTACTGCACACTATCTAAACCCTGTACTGAATACTGAATTATTAATTTTGTCACGTTTTTTTTCTATGGTGCTCATCCCTGTTGTATCCAAGTGTCTCACAAACATCAGTTAATTTATTTTCACAACTCCTTATGAGATAGGAGAATGTTATTCTGGGGAAAGTGAGGCAAAGAGAGAATAAGGACAAAACGCTGCTAACTTGGGGTGCTACATTTACTGAGCACCCAACTTGAGACATCTTGGGCCTGGTTTTTTATAGGTGTTGAGTATCCACAGCTCCCATTGACTTCAGCTGCAGTTGTGAGTGTTCTGCTCTTTTGAAAATCAGGCCCCAGATGTCTCAAGTTAGTCTCCAAGAAAATGAGGAACACACAATTAGTGGCCAGTTGTGAAAGTTTTAGTTCTAGTTCACTTGCCAAGCATCAGATAGGAACTCTGTGGTCAGGGATAGGCTCCAGTTCTCCAGGGTGGCATTCAACTGCCTTAACCACTAAATCATCTGTTCTCTTCTTGCAGTCCCCTATTTCAGTCTCTATACACCAAACAACTTCTATAGTGCAAACTGAATTTTTGAATTTTTTAGTACAAAGGGTCTAGCAAGCTCTAGTAAACATAATGCAAATGGAAAAGGAGTACTTGTGGCACCTTAGAGACTAACCAATTTATTTGAGCATAAGCTTTCGTGAGCTACAGCTCACTTAAGCTTTTGCTCAAATAAATTGGTTAGTCTCTAAGGTGCCACAAGTACTCCTTTTCTTTTTGCGAATACAGACTAACACGGCTGTTACTCTGAAACCTGTCATAATGCAAATGGTGATTTTCTACATCTTATTACTGAGCCAAAACTGAACATATTTTCATTGAGACAGCAAGTTTGTACTCCAAAACACGGAGGCATTAGAATTCTTCAGAAAGTATTTAGAATTTTTTTTTAATAATGGGAATAGATAGGCAACCTAAATATAGATTTTGGTCAGCTCCTATTCCCTAGAGTTGTATATTGTGGTAAATGGATCTCTTGTTGCAGTTAGAACTATATTTACAAGCCTAACTAACCTATTGTTAGTGGGGGCAAAAGATCTATCTGGCTTTAAGATTAAACTCGATAAGTTTATGAAGGAGATGGTATGATGGAATAACATGGTTTTGGTAATTAAATATTCATGGTAAATAGGCCCAATGGCCTGTGATGGGATATTAGATGGGGTGGGATCTGAGTTACCCAGGAAAGAATTTTCTGTAGTATCTGGCTGGTGAATCTTGCCTATATGCTCAGGGTTTAGCTGATCGCCATATTTGAGGTCGGGAAAGAATTTTCCTCCAGGGCAGATTGGAAGAGGCCCTGGAGGTTTTTCGCCTTCCTCTGTAGCATGGGGCACGGGTCACTTGCTGGAGGATTCTCTGCTCCTTGAAGTCTTTAAACCACAATTTGAGGACTTCAATAGCTCAGACATAGGTGAGAGGTTTTTCACAGGATTGGTAGGTGAAATTCTGTGGCCTGCGTTGTGCAGGAGGTCAGACTAGATGATCATAATGGTCTCTTCTGACCTAAATATCTATGAATTATAGCAGAAATTGCTGAACTGTTTTATTCAGTTACTGAACTACAAGTCAGCAGGGAAGTCTCCAGTCTTGATCACAGTTATGCCATTCAAAGACACTGTGACAATTCTAGAGGAAATGACACGTGTGCCACAACCTTATTATAGACAGAACTAGATTCAAAATCAGTACAAAGGCAAGTGGTCCCTATTGCAAGGAAGAGCTGTGGATGCTTTCCTGACCAAAAACCCTACCTTCTTTGATCCAAATTAAATACAGACCAGAGCTCTAATCCATCCTCCATTAACATTTATAGAAAGACTCCCATTGATTTCAGTGGAGCTGGATCAGGATTTGAGTGACCCCATTGTCTCTTGCACAGCTGCAAGAATAAAATTGCCATTGGCTTCCCAGGCCTTGTCATTCAGACCATAAGGTCCCAATTCAGGAAATTTTTTAAACGTGTACTTTAAATCCATTCCTGTTCAACAAACCACTTAGGCACATGCTTATGGGCCTTAAGCACATTCCTAACATTAGACACATGATAAAATGCTCCCCTGAACAGCGATGGATTGCTGAATCAGGTCCTAAGTCAACACATGCTCCGCTTCCGGGTAGGACTGGCACCAAGCATCTTGTGCCACCAAGCATCTTGTGCCATTCTATATACTGACTAGATTGGGAGACATTGACCATCTCCCTGAAACTGAATCTTTGTAATTTACTTTCTGCTGATAGAGACAGAAGAAAATACAACTGGTATTTGCTAAGGGCAAATAAATAGCATAGTTTACACTGATGTGAAAAGCAAGTAATAGCTACATACTGTGCAGTTGCACCCATCACACTGAACTGCGCTTTAGTTTAAATGTGGAAAAAGCTTGCAGGCAATAGGGGCAGGAATGGCAGAATGTTCCCAGTCTTTCGGTTCCTAGGTGTAAAGGGGGCAGCCAGCAAATCTGTGGGCGGTTGGAGATGACCAATAAGAATGCCTGGTATAATACAATGGGCCAGGGCATTCCAGATAGAGGGGAGCTTGTGCAGCCCTCCACCCCCAGCAAGCATGCTCCAGCCACCCATTGTGGGGAGAGGGTAGTGGGAACAGATTGTCAAGGGACTATCCCTCTGGTAAAACAGATTGTTCTGGATAGTGGGAAATTGATGGGTAATTTACTAACTTGCTGACATTTTTATTACACCTCAGTTCTTACAGTCCCTGGCTTTACTGCAAGGATTCACCAGACTTTAAAATTAGTATTGTCATTGGTAATCTCAGCCATATAATTTGGAGATGAGTCCATTCACATTTTGAGGGATCTGTATAGTATACATTACTATTACTAAGCCTCTATATCAGCCACCTACAACACTGTGCCTTCTAACCCTAAAAGCGCGATGTTCTAGTTATACAAAATAGACATTTAGTGGGGGAACACTATATTTCAAACCCCCAAAATTTGTTTCTACTTTTAAAAATAACACAGGTTTTCAAATGTTTGTGTAAACCAGGCTAGTTCACACAACGTGTTTTCCAGTCTTTGTTATTTTTTTCTGTACGCACACACGCACACACACACATACACACTCACACACACACACACTCACTCTGCTGAAAGGGTTTAAAAGTTTCTGTGTGGAATAAACCACAAAGTCCCAGTTGAAAGAGCCAGGAGTGAAAGCTGAGTTCCCAAATGAATAAGACTAAAAAAGATAACACCCGCAGGCATCTGTATGTCTCAGCATTTAAATTATATCCCTTGAAATGTCAGTTTGGACTTTGTGCCAAGAAGTGGTTGAAGAGCTTTTTTCATGAATATACCCAATGGAAGACGAATCTGTTGAAATGAAAGGTGTCTCTAATCATTTGGTATAAACATAACATGTTTTTATTTTATTATGTAACCTTGGTCTTAATCATTTGGTATAAACATAACATGTTTTTATTTTATTATGTAACCTTGGTCTTTTAATGAGGATTTTGAATTATTGCTGATGCGTTGTAATTTCATGGAATTATATTGTCTCCGTGTTTATTCTATGGGTGGGAAGTGATCTGAAGCTTAACTTTCCATTTATTTCAATGGACTAACTGATTTCAGCAGGTTTCTCTATTAAAAACAGTTTTATTTTAAAGAATGTGTGCTGTTTATACTTTCCACTCAAATAAATAGCAGTGACTTTGTGGTTATACTACAGTAATGAACAATCTTTCTGTATATTCTATTTCTGTCATTTGACAGTTCCTGTATTTTTTCCTTCTTAAATTACAGGCTGTATTTTTTCTTTGTAGGATTAGTGATTACATGGATCTGACCCCTGTAGATATTGTAGGGAAGAGATGTTACCACTTCATTCATGCTGAAGATGTGGAAGGGATCAGGCATAGTCACTTAGACTGTAAGTACCTCAGTTTTTGTCAAAATAATCTGGCACAATACCTGGTTGCTTTTGAACTATTATTTACAATTCATGATTGTGGATCTTCATATTGCATCTGCCTTTTTGTTTTAATATAGTGGAGGATGGTTCAAAAGTAACTTTTCTTACTGTATATTTTCAAGTCATTTCCTTAAATATTCAAGATTCTCAATGTATGTGGGAATGTGGAATTACTTAGATTTGTATGATGGTGGTCTCCAACAGCTGCCCAGTTCCATGTGCTGCCATTATTTTACTTCACAGAGGCATTGCTCCAATGAAATTAGACAAAGGTTTCTAACCATAAGAGAAGTGAAGTTCTTTCAATGGGATTAGTGGAGGCGAAAAACCTAACTTGTTTCAAGACTGAGTTTGATAAGTTTTTGGAGGGGATGGTATGATAAGGTTGCCTATAATGGCATATGGCCTATCCATGATTTCTCTTAACAAATATTTCTAATGGCTGAAGATGGGACACCAGCTGGGGACGACTCTGAGTTACTACACAGAATTCCTTCCTGGGTGTCTGGCTGGTGGGTTTCACCCACATGTTCACTGTCCAACTGATTGCCATATTTGGGATCATGAGCAAATTTTCCCCCAGGTCAAATTGGCAGAGACCTTGGGGTGGGAGGTGCCTTCCTTTGCTGCGTGGGGCCTGGGTCATTTGCTGGCTTGAACTAGAGTAAATGGTGAGTTCTCTGTAACGTGAAGTCTTTTTAAATCAATATCTGAGGATTTCAGTAACTCAGCCAGAGGTTACAGGCTTATTGCAGGAGTGGGTAGGTGAGATTCTGTGACCTGTGGTGTGCAGGAGGTCAGACTAGATGATCATGATGGTCCCTCCTTAACGTCTATGAGATGCGTAACTCTGTCCCTAATATAGAAAATGAACTCATCCCTTGCTTTTTTTTTATTTCTCACTGTTGACATGGTGATCAAAAACTAATGTATTTGGTAGCTAAGAAAGTTGCACAGAACAGAGCTGAGCCATGAAGCTACCATGGATTTAACCATACAGTACATTATCCTCTCTCTACTTTTGTGGCTCCCATTCCTGTAATATCCAAATACCTATCTGTACCCAATCAGGATTAGGAGACTAGGAGTTGTACAAACACATAGCAAGAGAAAGTCCCTGCCCCAAATATGTGTGTGTGCACATATCTGTATCCAGATATGGATGCAACTTGACCCCTAAATATTTGAGACCAAATTCTTTCCATTTGAACACCAGTCTTTTAATTATAACCTATTTACAATTTTTAAAAATAGATACAGGGCTAATTCTTTTCTCGCTGAGGTTCATTGTCGTCACTGGGGTTGCTCCTGATTTACACTGGTATGAGAGGAGCGTTAGGCTACTAATCTGTAATTTAGCTATGCTTCGAGTAAAACCAGATGATGGCTGCACTGGAGCACTGTGTGTCCTGGGATTTATTTCCACAAGACACCCCAACTGGCAGTGAAGACACAGAGTATGTGATGAGAAAAAAAAAATAAAGTAGAAATTCTCTACTAAGAGGCAAAGCAGATCTCTGGTCTAAGAGGACTACACCCAAGAGAACAAACTAGCTCAGTTCAATATGCAAACAGGGGACTCACGAAAGCTTATGCTCAAATAAATTGGTTAGTCTCTAAGGTGCCACAAGTACTCCTTTTCTTTTAGTGAGAAAACTAGTTTTCCTACACATAAAACTGAAGCAAAAGCTGCTTGCTTGTTGCCTGCAATTGCAAAGCTGGGAGCACAGTGGCCATCTTTGTGAAAGGCAAAAGTAGCTAACAGAAAATGTGCAGCAGCCATCTTTGGTATTGACAACAGCTCAGACTCAAGCTTTTAGAAGCTCTTAAAAGGAAATAGCCTATAAAATCTGGAGGAACTAAAATATATATGATTGAAAAAGGGAAAATAGCAATGTGAGATAAAATTCAGAAAGAACATTAAAAGCACATCTAGAGGAAAAAACCCAAAAAACAAACAAAAGCAGTCTGGTATTTGCATCCCTTAAATTCCCAACACTGAATATCTCTGAGGATAGGGCAATTGCTCAGAAATGGACACACAAATTCAGAAATCTGTTGGGTGCACTTGAAATTTGAATTTAAAAAATAACAAGTCAAACTTTTATTGCACTGTCTGGGTGAGGAGCTAAAAGATGTTTAAGACTCACTGACTTAACTAAACACCTGGCAGAGATGAAGATCCTGTTTGAAAAAGACCGTAGTGTTCTGACTGACTGGCCTACTTCTCTGAAATAGAATATGGAATATGAAACATTAGTCTTCAGGCAAGTGAGACAAGAACCAATAAGAATGTGTGAGAAGTAGTGTGATCCAGTGGATAGACTGGGACTCAGAAAACCCTGTGTTCTCAGCTCCACCACTGACCTGCGTGTGTAAGTAACTTCAGACAAGTTACTTTACCTCTCTGTGTCTCTCTGACCCTTTGTATGTCTTGTCTATTAGGATTGCAAGGTCTTCAGCTGGGCTGTCTTTTACTTGAGATAGTTAAGTTGAAAGTTGACTGTGAAGAGTTTCAAAGGTATCTCACTAAACTGGGTGACTGGGCGGCAAAATGGCTGATGAAATTTAGCACTGATGAGTGCAAAGTAGTGACCACTGGAAAAAATAATCCCAACTCTACCTACAAAATGATGGGGTCTAAATTAGCTGTTACCACTCAAGAAAGAGATCTTGGAGTCATTGCAGATAGTTCTCTGAAAACATTACTCAGTGTGAAGTGACAGTCGAAAAAGCTAACAGAAAGTTAGGAACGATTAGGAAATAGATAATAAAAGAAAATGTCATAATGCCACTGTATAAACCCATGATATAACCACAGCATGAATACTATGTGTAGTTCTGTTCACCCCATCTCAAAAAAGAGATACTAGAATTGGGAAAGGTGCAGAGAAGAGCAACAAAAATGACTAGGGGCATGGAACAACTTATTCCATAAGAGGAGAAATTAAAAAGACTGGGACTATTCAGATTAGAAAAGAGATGTGTAATGCGAGAGGGGAGAAATATGATAACGGTCTCTAAAATCATGAATGGCGTGCAGACAATGATTAGGGAAGTATTATATACCCCTTCACATAATGTAAGAACTAGGGGTCATCTGATGAAATTAATAGGCAGCATATTTTAAACAAACAAAAGAAAGAACTTCTTCACACAATGCACAGTCATCCTGTGGAACTTGTTCCCAGTGAATGGTGTGAAGGCCAAAAGTATAACTCAGTTCAAAAAAGAATTAGATAAGTTCATGAAGGATAGGTTCATCAGACTATTAGTCAAGATGGGCAGGGATGTAACCCTGTGCTCTTGCTGTCCCTAAAACTCCAAACTACCAGAAGCTGGGACTGGATGACAGGAGATGGATCACTCAAAATTGTTCTATTCTGATCATTCTTTCTAAAGCATCTGGCACTGGCCGCTGTCAGAAGACAGAATAGTAGCAGAAGTATTGGTCTGACCCAGTATGGCTGTTCTTATGTACTATGTTTCTTGTCAGCATCCAGCACAACGGAGCTCTGATCATGCTTAGGGCTTTAAGTGCTGCCTTAGTAAAAGTAGTAATAATAATACGAGCCACTGACCAATCTTATACCAGATTCCCCACCTAGCATTCTGATGTAAATTTGCTGACTTAGATGCAAATGATGCAACATTGTTCAGTAAGCAAGCATGGGCCATCAGCTCTTAGCTCTTAATTTGGAAAGACTTCTAGATGTGGAATGAGTTACTAAAGTGACAGAGTCACAGGCCTTCTTATCATGGAAAACAATGCACCAAGCAAACCTGTAATGCCAGCAGCAGTGGTGAGCTGGAGCCAGTTCGCACCGGTTTGCGCGAACCAGTTGTTAAATTTTGAACCAGTCTTAGAACCGGTTGTTAAAAATTGTTAATTGCTCCCTGAGCTCCCGGCCAGGGAAGCTCCCCCGGCCCCTCCCCCACCGTCCCCCCTCTCGCAGAGCGTCAGCGTGCCGCACCGCCAGTGCTCTGAACCGCTCCTGGGCAGCTCGGCAGCTCCTGCCGCTTTGAGCGGCTTGGTAAGGGGGTGAGGCTGGGAGCTCCAGCAGGCCGCGTGGCAGCCATACATGCTGCCCTGAGCAGCATGATAAGGGGGCCAGGCCGGGGCTGGGAGGAGGGGTTGGATAAGGGGCAGGGAGCGGTTGGAGGGGGCGGAGGTTCTGGGGGGGCGGTCAGGGGACAGGGAAAGGGGGGGGTTGGGTAGGCATGGGAGTTCCGGGGGGTCTGTCGGGCAGGGTCAGTGCACCCACTAGGTGGACTAGGCAGCCGCTTAGGGCGCCAAGTGGTTGGGGGTGTCAAAAAGCGGTGCCCCCCAAATTTTGTTTAAACAGCAGAGCACAAGACTGCTGCTGCTGCTCCCCACCTCTTGGCGGGCTGCCTGCGGCGCAGCCAGTCCCTCCCGCCGGGGGAGCAGCTGGCGGCAAAGCGGGGAAGGAGGAGGTCTAGTGCTAGCAGCTGCGTCTTCTTCTCTGCGCAAGGTACCTAGCCGGGCTGCGGGGAGCCACACGGGCCCGCAGAGCGCCGGCAGGTGGGCAGGTCCACTCCCTGGCCTGGGGAATGGTGTATGTGGGAGCAACCCAGGCACCCCTCCCCCAGCCAGTGCCACCCCCTCCAACACCCACCGACCAGCTACCTTCTCCCCTGTGCACCCTCTGTCCCAACAAGCCACCCTATCCTGCCGGCAACCTCCACCCGGCAATCCTCCCCCCCTCCCCCCACCGCAGCCAGCTACGGTCACCTTCACCCCTGCATCAACCTCGGGACAACCCCTCCCCGCCACCTGCCATCTCCCTCCTGCCCACTCCTCCCTTGTGCAAACCCCTCCCTGCCGCCTTCACCCCCCTGCAGCAACCCCGAGCACATACACACCCCTGCCTGCCAGCCCCTTGCAACAACCCCCTCCTGCCCACTTCTCCCTTGTGCCACTCCCTCCCTGCCACTGC